GTGTGGCATATGCAAATAAGTTATGCTAATGAGCTCCTGCACCTCTTTTTCTACTAAATGACCCCTGCTCTCAGCCAAATCTAGTAGAGAAACTGGAGGTGGTGGGGGGAAATGGGGCACTTACAGGAAGAGGCTGGAGCAACAGCAGGTGAAGTCTGAAAGTGAGATGAGGCCGATCTTAAGACTCTGAAACTGGGGTTGCTACCTTGGGCCACCAGAATTTAACGCCGGCCGAGAACACAAAGGACAGACCGACTTGCCCTGCTTTGGCAGAAGCCTATATAGATCTATTTTGTTTAGAGTTGCTGAAATGGAAATAAGACATCGCTCCTGGCAAAATATTTTGTATTATGGAACCAAACTCACCCATCGGCATCTTTGTCTTTCAACAAAGCTGCGGCGTCTATCAGCCTTTTCCTCCTTTCCTCTTGTTTCCTTTGCTTGTCACGCATCTGAGAAGAACACAATTCTTTTTTAGAAGTTTTAAGTAGTGACAGTCACCAAGGAGCCACAGGAAATCTTTTCATACAACTTCATGGGTATTGCTGTCGCCCTGACCTGCCCAGACTAGCCCGTCTCATCACCTCACAGAAGCGAAGCAGGGCTGGTCTTGGCTAATATGTGGATGGGAGACCGCCAAGGAATACCAAGGAGGTGACTGAGAGGCAGGCAATAGCTGCGGCGTCTATCAGCCTTTTCCTCCTTTCCTCTTGTTTCCTTTGTTTGTCACGCATCTGAGAAGAACACAATTCTTCTTTAGACGTTTTAAGTAGCGATAGTCACCAAGGAGCCACGGGAAATCTTTTCATACAACTTTAGGGGTATTGCTGTCGCCCTCCCTGACCTGCCCAGACTAGCCCGTCTCATCACCTCACAGAAGCGAAGCAGGGCTGGTCTTGGCTAATATGTGGATGGGAGACCGCCAAGGAATACCAAGGAGGTGACTGAGAGGCAGGCAATGGCAAACCACCTCTGAATGCCTCTTGCCTTGAAAACCCTACGGGGGGTCGCCATAAGTCCACTCTGACTTGACAGCAAAATAAACAAACAACTAGATAATGGGTATCAGTACACGGAAAACAAACCTCTTGCATGATGCTCCCATCGCGGAGTTTAATTTTTTTAAAAAAGAGTGGCTTGGTGTATTTCATTATGTTTTGTCTCCTGCCTTTCTCGTCAGGATGATGTAAACTGCGGGGTCTGGGTACTTTCCCATCTAGGCCGTTCTAAGACCTGGACCCCCTTATTTATTTATTATTTAGATTTCTATCCCGCGCTCCCCGCAGGCTCAGGGCGGCTAACAGGGCATAATGCCAGATGAAACAATAAAACAGTATAAAATGTTAAATTACACATAGACAAATAACAAACAGTTAAATAACATCCTAAAACAATTTTGGTGCTCCTCTATTCGCTTCCAGATATTAAGATCTTTAAAAGCAGGATGGCGTTCTCAGTAACGTAGCTGGACAACTGCGGCAGTGCATGTCCCACTGCCCTACCGTCCCCTCCAATGATGCCCACATCAAGATGTCAATATGTGGAACTCATAGGGCGTTGGTGGAACAGTGATGGTGGCGGCTCCTATTCAAAAGCCTGGTGGAAGAGCTCCGTCTTACAGGCCCCGCGGTATCATGTGCCTTCTGCCATTAAAATGGACTTGCTGTGGGAGGCAAAAGGTATCCCCCAGTAGCTGCCGTTAGCGGCCTCCCCAATGGACCACCATGTGCCGACACCTGGGCATTATCATGGGGCAGTTCACTGAAAGTATTTTAGCAATCTAACTATGCTTACACGGCTTTCTAACAAAACGAGCTAATCAAGACCTTTCAAGAGAGTACGTTCTCAGTGGAGTTAAAAACACTGGAGTAAATTTCTTCATACTCTAATCCCAACTCTCTTCCATTGGCTTGTAATGACTTCAGGCAGATTGGGAGGCTACTATAGCAGAGGCGTGCCATGGAACAGCACGTTGCTCTGGTGCTGCAGGGAAAGGGTGTCACTGCAGACAGAGACAGCACCGTGCAGTGGCTACAGAGCGTCAGACTCGAATCTGGGTGATTCTGCCACAGAAGCTCGCAGGGTGACTTTGACCCAGTCACTCACTCTCAAGCCTGGTCCGCCTCACAGGGTTGTAAGGACAAAGACAGGAGAGCAATGCTGTAAACTGCTTTGGGTCCCCACATTGGGAGGGGGGGGAAGAGGCAGGACATAAATAATAAATAAATGCAAATGCAAATAAACATGAAAGTATGATGAGAGAATTCAGTGTTCTATCAAAAGGTCCTGAAATCAACCTTAAACTAGGATAATGTAGTAACTGAAGCTATAAATTGCTTTCAATCAGTTTCTTCGAGTAGCGTTTGGATGGATTCTTAAAATTAGAACATCTTCCACTACAGCGCGTCAGGAAACCAGCCACTCAACTTACAGCTCCTTTTGCTTTATCATCCTCCAATGCCCCCCCATCAGTGGGAAGATCCACCATTTCTTGTTCGTCAGGCAGACCAGACTCCGTCACTGGGTCGGTACCGCACTCCATATCTGCTTCTTGTACGGAAAGCTGCTTTTCATCCAGTGACCCGTTGCTTTCTTCTGCTGGCAGTGCACTCCCCTCGGTCTCCGAAGGCAACGCCTTGACAGAAAATGTTCCGGAGAGAAGACTCCCCACTTTGCTGAGAGGGAACTCGTAAAGTGTCCGGAAAAAGGATTCTGGAAACCCAAAACAGTTTGTGGCTGCTCTAACGGCTCCACCTCCAGGGTACATCTGAATGATGGATCCATAACCTGAAAACAAGGATCAGAGTTAACATCATATGGATCTGAATTCTTCTGCAGTGCAATAATCGCTAGCCAATGGCCTGTTCATACACGCCTGTTACTCAGGGGATAACTGCAAGATCAAGTGACAACCCACTTCTTAAAGTGTATTTTTTAATAGTTGTAGTAATTATTGTAAGCCGCTTTGAGTTCCATTAAGGCAGAAAGGTGGCAAGTGTTTTAAATAAATATGCAAACAGAAATGAAACTTTATTGGGGTTTCCAGTCTTTTTGAACAATCCTTTTCAGCAGGGACGATTCATACATGCGGTAGTGCATCAGCAAGGATTAGCAATTCAAGGAGAGCACAAGCAATGTGTGTACTTGGGTGGACAGGCCACACTGGAAGTCTTGCTTAAAATCCAGATGAGCCACAGGAAGGCTATTGGAACTGAATATAACATTTACAGGATTTACAATATGACAGGCTGGATCTTTTGACTCCCTTCCGCTAAGCAAGGGGCATTTCTCTGAAGGAAGAGGTCTCCCTCCAACAGAGCAAGGCTCCACATTTAGTAGAAGGGAATCAACTGAATTCAGCACTTCCATGAACAAAGCCTGGCTCTTTGCTACCTTCTTCCCAGTGCACCTGCTTGTGCCCCCCGAAAAATGTCTGTGAGAGCTGGGGAGGGGGAGCTCTCAGGAACAATGAGAAATGTACACTTGGGGGGGGGGAAGCAGAAACTGTTTTCCCCCACACAAAGCTTCTGCTGTATTTTTGGAAGTTGCTCTGCTTGTACAGGCCTGCAAGGGAGGATTTCTGACAGTTCTGTCTTCCTAAAGCAGCACCCTCTCCCCCCAAGCATTCTCACATGGTTGTCATGGGTCCCCTGACACTTAGCAGCAGTTTATCATGAATGGTAAAGGGTTACACTAAGGAGGCAGCAAAATCCCCTTCCAACAACTCACTCCATTTGCAAAAGGCTCAGATCGAACCCCTGTGCGTAGGGTTCAAAGAAGAATGAAACTAATTCCGCAGGCTCCAGAGAGACTTCGGGCTTGCGTACTGCAAACAGCTGTACCCCCACTGATATGACAACCTCATTTTAAAACTGAGGGGAGTTGCAAAAACTGTTTGTCTTGTCAAAGGGGGTCTGATGCTTGGAAGACAAAAAATCCACTGGATACACCCTAACCCCCAACTACATCTAAAGTAACTCCAAGTCCTGGACTGAATTGGCAGCACCATGCTGCTATTCTTAAAACAGCTATTCACCAGTGACCGTGGCAGTTAGTGATTACTCACAGCAGGAACAAAAGATACCATCCATCTGGTTATTCCCCACACCTGAATATGCATTTAAGCTTGTCAGACAAAACACAATGTAAGGGGGAAGTGAGTGGGAGACATGAGATTTTGCCAGCAGCTTAACAACTTTATACTCCTTTGGGACTCTAATAACGAATCAGACGGGGCTGTACATTTCTGGTACAAATGCTGTGCCTGTCAAAGTGCTTTTCCAACATGTATATCTTCACACACACCACACACACACACACATACGCACAAGAAAACAAAAGGCCAAAGACATGTTCTAGAACAGAACATTTGGAATTTAACGCTCCCATTCTAAAAGATGCCAACGTCAAGTTACCACGAGGTGGCCTTTTCTTACCCCCCATCCGTTCCATGGCTGCACCCAGCACCAATCCTGCACAGGTTTCCATTATGATCATCTTGTTCCCGGCATGGACGTTTCCCCAAGTCAACATGTGGGCTAGAGTGTCATACCGTAAATGGCTAGAAACATAAAATAGCGTACTGTCAGCGAGACAGCAAATCAAATCCAGATGAATTGATAATTCAGCTTTAGTAATGACCAATGTTCCCTCTAAGCTGAGTTAGTGTGAGCTAGCACACAGTTTTTTAGCCTTCAGCTCACACATTTTCGTCTTAGTTCAGGAAGGATGGCCGCAGAGCAAACCAATTTATGCAGTAGCCAAATCGCTCGCTCACAACTTTAATGCCAGTAGCTCACAAAGTAGAATTTTCGCTCACAAGACTCCACAGCTTAGAGGGAGCACTGGTAATGACGGTTCTAGGTAATAATACATAGCCCAGGCTTTGGAAGTAAAGAATTCAGCAAAATATTTAGATTGTGGAAACAGAAATGAGACAAGGGTGGATGATAAATAAGGGCTGGGCAATACGTGTCTGTCCACGATCTGCAAAGTACTTTTTCGTAACAGGGAGGTAATCACAATAAAGAACCTTATGATTCTAGCACAAGGAATCAGCAGAGGAAAACAGCAATGCTATTTCATCATCCCTCAAAAGCAAGGCGAATACACAGTAAACACTTCAGTGTGAAACATCACGATTCTGGAGACTATCTATTATGGGATGTGACCAGTGTTAAAACATGGATATATGTTATCAGCCTGTTGCTTAAAATCATAACGTTGACTCCTTCTACTGATTCCAGGTCAGCAGAAACCAGCAGCTTGATGTGTGTGTATGTTAAGTCCTGTCAAGTCACTACCGAATTATGGAGACTCTAAGAATTGACGTCCTCCACAACCGAGGGCCCTGGCTTCCTTGACTGTCAATCCATCTCATGTTGCGTCTTCCTCTTTTCCTGCTGCCTTCAACTTTTCCTAGCATGATTGTCTTTTCCAGTGACTCGTTTTCTCATAACGTGACTGAAGTGTGAGAGTATCAGTTTAGTCATTTTAGCTGCTGAGGACAGTTCAGGCTTTTTGGCAGCCTGCGGTATCAGTAAAACTCTCCTCCAACATCACATTTCAAATGAAGCCGCTTGATAGGTATCCAGAAATATAGAGTCTCTGAGTTTGCACAAACTCTTGCTCGGCTGCTACAGGTAAACAGGGATACTAAACACATTTCATTACCTATGAGACTGTGTAACTTGAAAAGCTGACCAGTGCGACTGTTGTGCTGTCAGGGTAACACAGATGTCCACAAAACATTTGACACCTCATCCTTATTCTCTAAGATGAAAGCTTTGGAGTAGAACTCACCAAGCTTTACTTGTGATATACTCTGAAGTATGCTCTGGTGTGTTCTCCATAGACAGAGAATCTTGAGACTGTCAGCATTTCTTGGGTACCTAGACCTTCTTTAAGAAAGCCTACAAGATCACTTTCATTGTTCAGAGTCTCAGCTCTGTGCCAGTCCTTGAAACAAGACCCTGGGGCATTTGGATACTTTCTCAGGTCACTCAGGGATTTGCAAGTACCAAGGAAGGGAGAAAAACTTACTGATTTGTACAGATGTCAAATTAATCTGAATTTCTAGATCCAAAATTCTGTTTTTGTAGTTCTTTAAAGACTTCATGTCTCCAAGAACTCAAACCATGCTGTGAGAGATAAGCCTCAAATGCCACAATCTTGTATGTGTTTCACAAACCTATTCAGCCCAGGATTCAGATAGTGTTGATCTAATATATACATTTTTCAGTCTTTCAGATTATAAATGTGCAGACAATCACTGAGAAATAATACAGGCTTTTACATAACCCAATATATTTGATATGTTGTAACTGGTTTTTGTCAAGATTTCAAAAATAGATACTGCTCTAGTCTGTCAACTAGCTGCTTCCTTATGCCTTATGTCTGTTAAAGTATGACTAAATTTGTTATTAATCCTGATAGCAGAAGAAATCCTTGTACCACAGGTTTCCTACAGTTGCCAGAAGAAACCAAGATTTGCCACCACTGTCAAGCTAAAGTAAGTCTCTATTTTCTTCCCAAAACACACAGAGAATATTGTAGGTGTCATGGTTTCCAGGAAAGACTTTGGAATTTAACACACTAGGTTTGCCAAAAAATTAAAACAAAATTAACCCTTACTTGATTTTTCCTGGTTCTCTTGCATAATACATTGTTGACAGAATTCGGGCGGATGGCTTAATGATTGTAACAACTGCCTCATACCTGTAAACAAAGCACAGCAATGGTATTTCAATGGCAAATAATCCGTGAGCCACTCCATATTCTGTTTTCTACTACCGAACTTACTTTTTCTTCTTTTTCTTTATGTATTTATCTTGGGCAAATTCTGTCTTGTCTCTGAATGTGGCACTGTTTTCTATCAGCTGCTGAACTATTTCCTTTAGGGGAGAGAATTTTATATCATTTTTCTGTATGATATTAAGTGTTTAAAAAAGGATTCACTTTGAAATTATAAAACGGGTAAGCAGTTTCTAATGCAAGTTAGTATTTGTGGCTGATTAAGTGGGGATGACCCAAACACACTTTTCTGTCAGGGTAACAGCAATTATGCGGGCACACAGGAACTTCCAATGCTGGAAGATAAAACAACACCCCTCCCCACAGAACCACATTTTGACCCCCCCCCCAATACACTGTTCCTGAGGGCCTCTTGGCTTTCTTCAAGGATTTTACTCAGTTGTAGTACTTAGGATCCAGACCATGAAGGGCTGCACTGAATTGGGGGGGCAGCACTAAATTCAACCTGACATGACTCAGTTTGGGAGAATTTTGTTTACATGTGTGTCTGAAAGTAGAATAATACAATATTGACTCAAATGCAAGACTTGGTCATCTTACATTTGCATCTATATTTACGTGTAACATTTTTAAGGAGGCGATCATACACACAGAGTAGTCTTTCTTTTGAGTAAGTATGGTAAATAAAAGTAACAGCTAGATTTGAGTCCAGTAGCAACAAGATTTTGGAGGATATAAGCTTTTGAGAATCAAAGTGTCCTTCATCAGATAAATATACAATTTTTAAAAACTGGCAATAGATAGCAAAAAAAAAAAGGGGGGGGGAGATCCTGGAACCTTGCTCTTTCTCAAGAGGCTGGCACACAGCTACCTATATTCTTTAAAAAAAAGCGAGAGTGAGTTACTGGATTTTTCTAGGGGATACAAATAGGCTTCTCCTTCCAGGCTAGGGCTATGCGTAATGCCTATGTGCCAGGCCCCCCCCGGGGGGGCAGGGGGAGATGGGTAAGGGAGAAGGTATGGAAGAGAATGGATTGTATCAGTTCCCCCCTCCCGCCATTAAATAGCACTCTTATCAACACAGTTACATTTCCTACATGATTTTCCAGGACAGCAACAAAAATAGTCTCTCTAAGGAAAACCAGGCAGTATATCTTGGCTCGCCACTTCAATGCTATCTGATGCGGTAAAACTGCTCAGACGTGAAGAGGAAAAGTATGAGATGGTCCACTAAGGCAATGCAGCATGTCCCAAACGATAGTTACCTGTCCTTTAATGCCCTTATCCTTCAAAGCCTTTATATCATCATGAGTCAGTTTCTGAGACTTCCCATCGTCGATTATGTTCCGGTTATCTGTACCTGCTTCCTTGGTTTCTTAGGAATTACAAAACAAAACAAAAAAACCCTGCATTTGTGAAATGTTAGTAGAGAACAGCCTTCTAAGAACTAAAGACAGGCAGTCTTAACACTGGGAACATTTCTCCAGTCTTAATGCTGGGTATTTGCCATCACTGTACTATTGAACCAGTTGAGCCATAAGTAAACGTTCAATGGCAGCATCAGAGAACTGAAAGGGCACTGTAAGTCACTAGGCAAACCTAGAGGTTTCTGAAGCAGTCAGAAACATTTCAGCTAAACATCAATATATTTTTTTTAATCGAGGGGAAGTAATTTATCCCAGAAGCGATAATCAACTTAGAAGGGACCATCTGAGGGCCCAAGTCTGCCTCATAGCAAACTTGTTACTGTTTACTGTGACCCAATTAGGTTCATATCAAAGCCTTGTCTTCAAGGGCAACTGGAGCTGTTTCTTAGAAAACACTGCATGAAAACAGTCATACCCTCTACAAAACTGGAGCACAGAGGAGACGTTTTGTCCAAAGACGCTGAACTGCAGGCTGTGGCAGGTCAGTAGTTCAGCGGTTCAAGACCCGGGTGCCGCAAGACAGGGTGAGCTCCTGTCTCTAGTTCCAGCTCCTGCCAACCTAGCAGTTCGAAAGCAAGAAATTGCAAGTAGATAAATAGGGACCACTTCGGTGGGAAGGTAACAGCGTTCCGTGCGCCTTGGTGTTTAGTCATGCCGGCCA